TTTGTGAACGCTGGTAAAAATCAGGAAACAAATATTCCCCCATATCAAGAGAATAATAAGTTTGCTCTGTTTGCAAGTTCTAAGACAGACAAAGTAATCTAAGGTGGACTCGCCAAAAGAAGCCCAGTGCTCTTAGGTGATGAAGAGGAGTGGTTAGTCGCTACAAGACTCCACTAGTAGGGATCATTGGTAACCTGGCTGCATGGTGCTACAATGATCAACTCCTCGGCATTCCTGCAGGACCAGCCCGATGTGGCAAAGTCCCGGCAGGACAACGCAAGTCCTTGCGCTGCTCGAGTAACAGCAGGTCGCTTGCAAGACGACAATGCACTTGTCATGCTGTGGATACCCCACTTGCCAGACTTAAGCCCCACTGAACCTATTCGGGATCTGCAAGGATAACACAAAGCACTTAGGGCTCAGGGACCAGTGAACAGGCACATGCTTGGACAAAAGCTGCAAGAGGAACAGGCAGATTCTCACAAGACAGCATCTGCAACCTGGCATGTGGCTTTCAACTCCAGACACAAATGTTAAACAGTATAATGAATAAGCCTACGTCATATTTCCTCAATAACCTGATGACTTTGCCAGTTTCCTGTAGCGATAACTGATAAGTCTCTTGCAATAGTCAGCATATTTATAAACACCGGCGTAACAATGTATATGTGTGAACAGAAGTGGTTTTATGCTCTCCCATAAATTTCTGTGGCCTGTAAGTCTCTTGTTCTCACCTGTCTACTGACAATCACAAAACTTTATAGTATGCATTTGACATGTACAGAGAAATTCAGGGTCATTAGGCTGTAAATAACACCTGCTGTTAAGTTTCTGTCACATCATTATTTATGTATAAGCTATATATAGGCTTAATTCAGTAGTTAGGCAGCATTAAGTGTTGTTTCTTTATGAAACCAGTAAAAAGCACAGACCCAGGACTTTGAATTAGTGTGCAGGAAGCCAATTTGGTGTGAGATTGTGGAATGAAGAGTCATTTCAGAGGGTCAGATAATATAAAGACATACTCCCCATCTGCCATTTGCATTCCTGTGTCCTTCTTGTCCAGTCTTGTGTGCCTTTTTGTTTTTTAACCCACTTTTTAACAATGCAATTCGTTTTTGCAAAACCAAACCAGCGAAAGCTGCTATTAGCTTAGTGCAGAAGGAAACTATGAAAGAATCTTAAGAAAACAAAGACCACCCGCAATTTCTTATACAAATGAACTGTGCCGACCACACACAGCTAGCAGACTGCTGATAACACTGCCGATCCCAGAGCTATTAGTGCACACTGCACACACACTCAATTCCACATGACTAGGCATATGCTATGTGTGCTAGGAGCCAAACATTGTTAATGCTGGGCTACTGTCACACACAGCAGTGCACAGGCAAGATGTGAACCCTTTGGAGGAAACATTCTCCACCCAGGTATGCCTCTGGTGCATTTAGCCACTTAAAGCGCTCAAAAGAAAGGGCATGACAGGGTCTTGAAGAAGCCCACCACTCTGACTCCCTGTAAAAGCACAGGGGGGCGGGGGAACAGTAGCCAGATGGATTGCAACTACCACTACTGCGGACAATGGGAAGGCAGACAGGGAAGCGCGGAAAAAGGGGAGAAAAGAGGAAAAGGGAGAGGAAATCCAGCGACTGGCAAAGGGGCAGGGAGGGGAGGAGCCATTGAGCAAAAGAGGAAAGAAGAAAGAATATTCGCACTGAAACGAAAGGTTTAAAAAGCGCACAAGAACGGAAGTGCACTGCCAAGGTGTTTCTTCCCCTCCCTTCTGATTTTTTGTGTGTGCTGCGAACATGTTTCTTCCCAGAAGAGAACAAAACAAAGCCTGAATGTGTCACAAAAGTTGCCGCTGCATCACTAACAGGAAACCGGTGAGGCACAAGCCCAAGATCTAGCGCAGCTCTTCTCCGAAGTCACGGGATCATCGCTGCAGAGATCTCCCCAAGGCACAGACTGATTGAGAAGCTGGTCTTCCCCAGGGCTAGCCTTTAGACACCTGTGCTTGGTATTGCAGATGAGCGGCACTTTATTCCCTACTTTTCAGAAACAAGTATCGTTTTTGTAGATGGGGAGTACCGAGTTAAAAAATACTCTGATGTCTTGGGGGGGGGGGGAGAGATAAAAAGCCAAAAAGACCCCCCTGGACTCAAAGCTGAGATGACAAACTTGGCATTTGTAGAGGGCGAGTTGGATACGTATAGTGCTAGTGCTTGTCATGTAGGGGTACAACACTATGTGAACTAGACAGCTCTCTGTTGGTCACCAAACTGCCTCGAGGTCTGTTAAAGTGTAATCAGAACTGACTTTGTAAAAACAAACAGCAATTGATCTGCTCCTAACGAAGCTGTCAAAGAGAAAGATTGATCAGCTTCAGAGAACAGGACTTTAGCTACCTGAGCATGAAAATAACCAAACGGTCACGTGACCTTACCGAGACTGTACCGTTTAAAAGGGTTGGAAAGCTGTAGCAGTCTGTATGTTCTGTGGGGCTGACAACCAGTGCCACGTTGCTATGTATATTGAGGGCAATAAAGGCTGAATCAGCTCAAGACAGTCTCCTGCTCATCTCCTGCATTGGTCATTGTTAAAGAATGTCCCTCAACAGAGGGGGTGTTTTGTTACAGAACTCTAATGTGCTAAGTGGAGCTTGACATTGCAGAGGGTGAACGGAACACTTTGTCCCGTGATTTGTTTTCAGCAAATGGGAAAGATGGTTGAAGGGCCATGCTTGAAGGTCAACACCTTAGCAGTTCGAGAACGAACCAGTTTGCTGGGAGCCAGTCAGCGTGCACTAGCATCATCCACTTTGAGGCTGATGGCCGGCAGGGCTGGAGAAGTCACATAGATGACTAGCAACAGCTAAAATTAAGCCTGTATTAAACTGATAGCCTCCTCTCATTTATAACCATTCCGAAGGGACCCTAAAAGCTTGTTTAACAGATAGCTAAGAATCAAGTAAGATGGGCTGAATGGCCATAGGCAAGTTAAAAAAAATATATATTTGCAGTGTTGTTAAAAGTGCCTTCCAACTAAAGTGTATCGATGGAAGATGAAACATTATGGTGGGATTTCTAACTGGTTAGACCTGCAGAATAAAAGAAAAATGAACACTCTTTCATTCAGAGTTAAAACAGAGCAACATACTACTGAAAAACCAGTCCACATACATATAAAAATGTTTTCACACCCACAAGGAACATAACTAAAATATGAATGGTCTGTCTGTTTATAACTCCCCCACAAAAATATTTTTCTGACGTCAAATGTCACAATAAGAAAAGGTCTAAACTAGAGTTTCTTAAATCCAGCCACATACGTGAAGCTACACAAAATCCAATTCCAGAACATTTTTCTTACAGCATGCTGTACAGGACATTGTAGTATTCACTGACTGGTGAAAATCACTGTCCATGACTGGGAATACAGCCTAACTTTTTATTATTATAAATAATAATAAAAAAACAATTTCTTACACTTATAAAGCACTTTTCTGGACACTCCACTCAAAGCGCTTTACAGGTAATGGGGATCCCCTCCACCACCACCAGTGTGCAGCCCCACCTGGATGATGCTCCAGTCCCCTCACACACACCAGCTATCAGTGGGGAGGAGAAAAGAGTGATGAAGCCAGTTCAGAGATGGGGATTATTAGGAGGCCATGACTGATAAAGGCCAATGGGAAAGTTGGCCAGGGCACCGGCGTAACACCCCTACTCTTTTCTGGAAACACCCCGGGATTTTAAATAACCACAAAGCATCAGGACCTTTGATTTATGTCTCATTTGAAGGATATTACCTTTTTACAGTATAGTGTCCCCATCACTATACTGGTTCATTAGAACCCACACAGACCACAGGGTGTGCCCCCTGCTGGCCCCACTAACACCTCTTCCAGCAGCAGCCCTAGTTTCTCCCAGAAGGTCTCCCATCTAGGTACGGGCCAGCCTCACACCCGCTGAGCTTCAGTGGGTTGTTAGTTGTGAGTTGTGAGCTGCAGGGTGATATGGCTGCTGACAAGCTCTTCCACCCTTGTTCTGGTCATCCAACTTTTGAGACTTTCACTAGCTTCATATGTTAAAACTAACATGTGCTTACTCAATGATACTGATCCACCACGTGAGTTGGTAGTATAAAGACAACAGAAGAGTCACATCTGCTTGGAAGATGCGTGGTCACTGAGAAATTCTTCTGGCAGGTGGTAATGGGGAGGAGAGGCATGAAAATACAATGCAGTCGATACATTTCCGGAAACATGAGATCTATCTAGTGTTTGGCTGCCATTTGGAGTTCATGGTCAAATGTTTGAGCAGCGCAGCACTGGATCCAGTTTTTTTATCCTTACGGTTTTTGTTTTAGCGCTTTTTGAAATACGATTCTCCATCTCATTGCTCTCCACCTTCCTCCTGCATCCACCCCCAGTTTCAGAATAAAGTTTTAATGCTTGCATGCCTGTTGGCACAGCAATGCACAGAGAAGAATAATGCTCTTTTGCACCAGTACAGCATTTCAGTCCCACAATGCAGCAGCACTGCTCATGTGAGCTGACACTGTGCAGAGATCTCATGCTTCGAATCTGTGCAGATAGAATTTCCACTAATTTTTTCCACTATGGAAAAGTAAAGGAGTATGCCAAACAAAAGCAGTAAGAATGGTTATGACTTATATATCAATTTTAATTTGAATAAACTATATATGTAATTGACATTGACAGAGAAAAACTGTAATTAGATTGACCAAAAGCTTAACTTTTAGAGTCCCCACACAGCAAATACTCCCATAATAAAATGGAACAATCCATTGTTTTTCTTAAATGTACTGCACAGGTCAACGCCAGCTTATCTTGGGACATGAGTGTACCACAGACTGAAGCCCCTCTACTCTGAAGTGTGGCACAGATCCGAGAACACAATGACCATGGGACTCCAATCCCTGCACACGGGGATTCAGGGACACACTGGGCTTCTAGCATTTGAATCCACCACTACTCTCTTACTAACCCATTCACTGCACCAGAGAGAGCAAGACAGGATGGAAGGGAGAGACAACAAGTGGGGGAGAGGGGGGAAAACGTGAAGGAAAGAACAAATGCAGAAAGAGGATGGACAGGACAGAGATGCACAGGAGCAGTTAATTGGGGGAAGAGAATAAAGGATGAAAAGGAATGACAGAAATAAAGACGGAAATGGGGACATGGGATCAGATGCATACCTCCGACCGTCAGAATTCCCAGCCGCTCCTTGAACACAGCAAGGTCTGGTGGGGGCAGCAAGGGGAGAGAGACCCGGGGACAATTAGTGACCACAGCTGCCCACACCACCCAGGGGACAGCAGCCCCCTCTGCATCCCACAGGCTGCAGTCACAGCCACTCACTCCAGGCGCAGCACATCGGCCAGCGGCAAAGCGAACCGGCCGCTCGGCGTTCCACATTCCTCAGTCTAGAAAATGATGGTGCCAAGAGGGCCTCCAGGGAGATCATGCATCTCAGCGCGGCAATGGCTGACTGATCAGACTCATTAACCTGGGGCCCGCCCTTTCTAGAGCACACCAGCGCGGACTGACTTCAGAGTGCAGGCAGTAAATCAACAGACCTGGGAAACTGGTACAGGCAGAACGAGGATCAGCTACATTCCAGGCAAGCACACCTCTTCCCTGCTGAGAAGCAGCAATTCATCAGTGGGCTATGACCTCCATCAATCAATTTCTTACATTACGGGAAGAACACTACACTTTTTTATGGTTATAATACACAAGCACATTACTCTGTCCAAAAACACGAGGACAAATGATGAAAAACATGATGAAAAATTCTACTGTAGTGACGTTTCCTTAGCTTACTTTCGCTATATATTCACAATATGTCAATGCCAGATTTTATAATAACCCGTACAATCGTAGATAAAAGTAATTATCCTTTCCACAGCCAGGTTAATATCATACTCATCTCTCCGATTCATTTATTTTAACTTTGTGGTAGAGAACAACAAAACAAAAAGTAAAGGTTAATAATTAAGAATGGTCATCTTCCAAAACTTCTTACATGACACACCATTTCATCAGCTAAGCAAAAGAAAATTTACAAAACAGTGCCGAGTTGTGCAATAAAGACCATCGCTACCTACACAAGGCAGAAACAAACCCAGTGAACTCAGAGCCCCAGCCAAGTCAGTGGCTCACAAGCTGTTTTGCTGCACTCTTGCCAATAAAACTGTCCTCTTTCAGATGTTTCCAGATCTGAGATTCATGCACACTAGGGGAGAAACGCATAGCTCTGGACAGCAAGCAGTTGAGTTGCAGAGGGTCACAATCTTGAAGCATTTACCACAAGCAAACCTCAACACCTACAGTACTTCAAAACACAAGTCACAAGCCACAGAGAGGCATCTGGACTGCCAGTACGAAATCTTAAATGATCACTCTTGACAACTATACCAGACCTGTTTCACAACTTTGTGTTTTGCTGTGTTAAGGAAGAAAAAACAGGTGTAAAGATTATTTGCAACTTCTTTAACTGTGTATACTTATTAATATGAATGAGAAAGGACTGAATAAAGCAAAAAACATTTTCTGTAACAAAATGCTACCGATTATTAAATTATCTGAATACCAACTGAGATCATAAGTTTAGTGAAGGGAACTATGTGCAGCAAAACCAAAAGACAGCAGTAAGTGAAAATAATACCTCATTCTAGTTCTTGAGCCACCAATGTGTCAGTCAGCCCGATCTTCATCTAAAAGCCAATGAGTTATTTTTTCAGCAAAATATTACTACCACAAACTTATTATGTATCCTAATTACTTCAAACATAAAGAAAAACTGGATTTAAAAAACAATCTTCATTTGGTATCCACTGGACCATGTTTCCGCATTGTGAAACTGCGTACTCGACTGGCAACCTGCATCCATTTAAAAAACAACAACACAGCTACATTAAAAGTTGCAAATATGTGTGGTGAATAAATGCAAAATGACTACCATTTTTGGAGATTCAAAATCATCTTCAGCAGAGGAAAAAAAAAACTCCAAACGAGTTTCTGCCTGTCCCAGTAAAAACACAACCACATCCTCTTCAATAACCTAGAGCTCTAGGCAAAAGAAGTTAATTCTAGAATTGTCTTAGAAATGGATACAGCTGAGTGGTAGTAATTCTCTCGATCTAAGATGCAGAGTATACAGTACACTCTGTGTACAAACCTATTGTACAGACTCACTGTAAAAGTGTCAGGTTTCAAACAATCACTGGCCCTCAAAACATACTGGGGCTACTGCAAAACAGGGGGACAAATGCAATACTCCTTCTGATACACCAATATAAGCCTTCACAGACTAATACTAGGTACTGAAGCCTGAAAGGGTGTGTTACCCTTCTGTTTTAACAGGAATGCATGAAGTTTAGTTTTACAATGATAAGAGTTTTCCCCAAACACACCTAAGATTAATAGCAACACACCGGGTTACCATTCCTTGGATTTTATGGTAAAATTCACTTGTCTACGCTGCTTTTATTGTTCAAATTAAAATCAGTTGTGATTTTTGTTGCTGTACTGTAAGTAAAAACAATGTGCATTGTGACTGCCTTTCCAGGGAGGACTCTTTGCAGCTGTTTTTTCCAATGGCGTGCTAGCTTTCTTAAAACTGTGCATATCTTTATTTTGCCTTTATACATTGATGAACAATTTTCCTTTGGCATTTGCAGATACACAAAAGGACATTTTACAACAAAATGAAACAATCCTCAGCACTGCAGGGCATTCTAAAGCCACTGGAAGGGTGATTCAGTAGTTAGGTCACTAAGACTAAGATTTGGTGCAAGAGGTTCCCATCTGATTGCATCAGAAGTACTTGAAGGGGTTACAGTATGACCTCTGGGTCTTCAGTAACAATCTGTCTCTTGCAGGTGTTGGGACTGCTTGCCGATTTTATAACCCCAGAACGTTCAAAAATGTTTTACAGAATACATTATGCAGTTGGATTCATGTTGCATGGATGCTGCAACACTCCGCCATTCTGTAAGAATACTGTTGCCAGAGCCTAAGAGACTAGCCCAGTCCCTGCAGTGCAATCCTGTAGTTACTCGCATAGCTTTCCCTAATTCAATAAATCCATCTAAAATGTCCCAACAAAGGATATTTGTCATCTGGACTAACTCTACTAACACAGAGATTAAGTCACTTATTGAGAGAACTTTTTAATGTAGCTTTATCTTTTCTACGTTAACCTCCCACTGGCAGCGTTTAACACAAAACATCTTTCCACATGGGTGCTAAAATTCTCTATGATATGTCAGCAGGTTTTGAAAGGCCTCTCTGATAGTCGGTTATTCTTCTGTCACGTACAGTAGCCAGCGCCTACCACTAGTGCTCGGCTTTAACACCAATGAAAATCCTAAGAATCCATTCCACCTGTTAAAACCAATGAAATAAACAGAAGAGGAAAATATTTCAGGAAAGTTATTCCGATGAGGACGGCTGTTGCCAAACCAATTCTTTGGATTACTACAAAACAGAACTCGCACATCTCCTTCAACAATACAAAATAATCACATACTGAGAAAGTCAAAGCAAAATACTGCACACAACAAACCAGTCTTCATTACCAGGCCCAAATGGGCGTTGCCACATCTTCTCATCTACCTATTAAATGTGTATTTCTCATACATTCCTAAATATGACACAGGCATATAAATATAAACACTTTATATGCATTTTACTATGGATGTACTTCCTTATGGCCTGGATTCTTATAAATCCGTCAATCTTTTAATCTCAATAAAGAGGCTGAAAGGAACAGTAAACAAAGGCTAAAGAAATAACGTCATGCGTTATCACAAGCTGCAAGCACCGAACGATGTTTTGACATCATGGCCGTGATGTCACCTCCCAGATCACACCTCCCGGTGCCTCCCCGTGTCCCGGGGCAGAAGCAAACACTGGAGAAGAGCAGGGCTCCGTTTGCTCAGGCTAATCTTCAACAGCGGCTCCGGCATGAAGCCTTCAACACCGAGCGCCACACGTAACTGCCTCCCTGCCAGAGCTGTTCAGCAGTTTCACCGTTTCACTCCATGTTCAGAACATGGAGGTTTACTTCAGATAAGCATGGAAGTCAACCGAAGCTTGGGTGCCGTGACTCAGCTATGGATGTTTTTTGTACAGGAGCGGGCAGACGGCAATATTCGTAGCAAAACCATTCTTGATAACGGCATTTTCGAAATCATTTGCTGCTGTAGCAGCTGTGTCTACGTCAGTTTGTCTTCTTCCCAGGAACCGAGCCAAGAAATCAACTGTACATAAATTAATGGGAGAAAAAGATTATGGAACAAGCTCCGATTTTTTGTTGTGCACAACAGCTAATTGGTTTCATGTTTTCAGCATTTCTGATCTTGTACCACCACTTCTGCGCTTTTTCTGAGCCGATTTAGTCAATTAAAACAAAGGTTAATTGCTATTAATTACTTACACTCCCTCAGTTGCTGGCAGGGGGTTCCATGGCAGTAATGGGGAATGATGTTAACTCTTTATCCCCACATGTGATACTATGATACTATACAAGTGTGACGTAGAAAGTTTTGGATTGATTAAAATGCCTAAAACAGTTACGAGGTTGAGTATTTTCCTCTTACCCTAAAAATGCATCACTTGGCAAATAAATTACAGTTCATTGGTAAGCACGAAGTTGGAATACAAATGCTGGAAACAAGGAACCGGATTACTTTATTCAGCCTGTAAAGTACAAAAAGAACACCAATCACTCTTTTCATTGGGATCAAAACTGCACCGCACCACAGCCCCATTCGCCTTACATTTACAACAAATTGCAATTTTCTTGTCTAATGGGAAGTTTATTCCCCTCCCCTGCATTTTGGAAACTGCTGCAGACAGACTTACAGAATGGCATTTTAAAACTGAGGACAGAAGGCACCGCTCTACACAGAAGGTGGTGCGAGTACGGAGGAGGCTGTTCATTGGAGCCAAGACCCCCACTTTATTTGGAAATTGGATCAATTCACGACTAACTACCAAACAGGCCAGGGGCCAGATGGCCTCCTCTCATCCATAGGTTCTCTGGTGTTCTTGTGTAACCACCCAGTTGCAAAGGTAACGGCTACTTGTAGCCAGTGCTGTGCCAGCTGTGCAGCAGTCCAAGTAGCCTTGCTCCCATCCACACCCCGGACCTGCCCCAGAGTTGGGCTACCACTGCCTTATCACCCCAAAAATCGGTCTTACCCCCCCATCACAAATTCAGCCAATCAGTTCTTGCCTCTCGGGGTTAGTGTTCACAAACATCTGCCCCCTTCCGGCAACTGAACAAGGGCAAACGTAGTGACACTTCCCAGGGTAGCTTCCTGGCAGTGCCTTACGGGCACACTTCTCTCTCGTGATAATCCTGCCCTTGTGAAACAGGAAGGTCAGCAGGTGGCCCCAGCCCAGCACAGGGTGAGTGAAGCAGAGGATTAGTGCAGCATCCCTGGCTCCGAGCAGAACAGAGGCCAAGGCAGCCAGCAAAGATCTGCTAGCATAGTGCTCAGTGTCCAGCGAAAAAAGTTTGGAAACAGAGCATACTGTAAGGGAAACCATTAAATTGAGCATATTTCCAATGGGTAAATTAATCCAAAAAATGAAATGGACAATATCCCTTAACTATTGCATTCAATCTACGTAAAAAAGATTTTTCAGTCTGCATCTGGCTCTGAGCTTCAAGAACTCACATTAAAAGTTGGATATACCAAAACTGTGACATCACTGTTAGTTTCAAGTCAGATTTAAAGGGGAGCTGCAGTCCCAATTTCTCATACTGGTAATTAAATCTTGGTAACAAAATAAAATAATTGATAGGATCGCAAAATTAAAAAAACAAAAATTCCCAATTAAGCACAAAATCGTGAACTTTGTGAAAGTACTGCATGGTTGGCGTGTTGTTGTAAACTCCAGGTCTCACCACGGGAATTGTGACATGATGTGGCCCTTCCTGCCCACTAGTCATTGTAATGACTTACGTAATGCGATGTATGAGCCAAACCGGCAGCGCAGCAGATATTTCATCGCAGAACTGTTTCAATGTGATCTGCATGCAGAGTTAACAAATAGAATTTGTTGGAAAAACCTTCTATTGGATTAAAAAAGATGTATTCACAAGCCTGTTTGTTTACAATGTAATGGGGCCGTTTTACCTCACAGAAAGTTATATTGCCTCGTTCTGAACTGCAGAATACAGCGCTGTGCATACCTGGACATTTCACCTACTTAGTGAAGTAAACTGGAGGTTTTACTTTCATTGTGATTTGAAATGCACTGATCGGTGCCGATTCTTTGTAACCCCGAAACATAAAAAAAAAGTGTTGCAGTTCCCCTTTAAAAGTGAAGGTTTCAAAACTCCCTGCAGAGTTTAGGACATCAGGGTCCCATGCTGTC